ACTTAAACTTGTCGAAGTACAATTTCTCCCTCGATTCTAAAATAGAACAACTTACTCTTCTTGAGGGCTGAGATCGCAGGAAATCCACACGTATTTGATCACCACCTAATTGCTTTCCATTCATGTTTCTCATAGCTTGAATAGCGTCTTCCACTCGGACGTACTCCAGTAATGCAGTATTGCGGTCTCTAAACAACTTGAAATCGTCAACTTTTCCAAACTTGAGAAATTCCTCTTCCAGCTCTTCCTTCGAAACAGCTGGGTTGACCCCTCCAACCCACAATTGCTTGCAAGGTTTAGCCTAAAAGCAACACCAAGTAAGGACACAATGCTAGCAAACTATATAAAGGGAGGGAATAAGAACAAAACTAGAAAACATGTTCAACACAAACAAGATATTGCCAAAAGCAACAACTAACACAGCATCCAATCCATCATAGACTTAGAATAAGAACGACATCACATACAAAGAAATTCAAACAAAGCAGTGTACATTTGAAACGGACAACCATACAAATACACAATTTTGATCTTTTATTTGTATAACATCATCCGTTGCCTACCGTATTACTCCCAGACATGAAATATAATTTAAGCTATCTAAGCATTACCAATTTAGCATCATTCTCTCATCAGCTAACACTAATGATGGGAAACTTACTTATAAGAATGACGAGGAACTCCAATATATAACTGAAAAAAGAAGATGAGATAAAAAAAGAAGGTAGCACATGCCTCGACATTATTCATGGCCAGAAATATCTGAGGAGAGATTCATCCATTATCAACTTTAAGTAAAAAGGGACATAACCGTTTACACACCAAAAATAAACAATTTTTAAGAGCTAAAAGTTCTAATAATATCCATAGACAAACCATTTGAAGGTTTATGCTACAGCTATATCAACACAAATTTCATATATTTACATCAAGAAAAAACTGGGAAGTATGGGCAAAGTCCAGAAAACTTTGCCACTGCACTTTCAGAAGTGGAAAAAATAATTCTATAACTCTTTAAAAGATGAAACAGCCATATAAAGACTTCATGAGGTACCAATATGGTCAATGGTACTGCCAGATCTACATTATCACGATTTAATAAGTATCACCTAAAAACAAAACTAAAGAACTGAGCTTCATATATTCATGTAGGCCTTCTATTACATATCTCCAGCTTGATTTCAGATTGATTAACTTAACCATAAACTTAAACAATCTTACATTTGTTGAGTTTCAAGCACCATCAAGAACACTAATGATGGTAAATGGTGCCCTAATGTGGCCCAATATTCTGGGTCGCAAAGCCCAACACGCTTAATGGAACTTGTGGATTTCCATGTATTTGGCTCTGTATTTCTATGGAAAGACAACTTCCAAAGAAATGCTTAGTCATGTGAGCAGGAACTCTTAGTTACTTCTTTGACATTAGTCACACCTTAGCAGATGCAAGGGTGGAAAACCATATCTTGTAAAGCTCTGCCTACAACCACTACTTTGCTTAGAAAGTCTAAGAGATGTTTCAAGAAATTCGGGGCAGTCACTGGTTGATGGTAGTTCATCTGTGCAAAGTGCAAGGGATTACAACACACTAAATAACTATAGTTCACATCGTGACTAGGACTAAAGGGTATGTCAACGAGCTTCGCAAATTGCAAAATCGTTTTGCTAATATGTGAGGAGAAGGAGAAACTTGTGAGAATGGTCACTAGCTTAATTTTTTGGATTGCATGAAGAGAAAGAAGTTACATAACATTTGAAAGTTTCCAACAAACCACCTATTGCATGATCATAAGAGACATACAAATCAGGCAAAACAACTGCATGTACTATGACCGATATGGAGGTTTACCAATATGGATGGTCACCTGTAGAATGATGTTATAGTCAAACTTTCTTTCCTCATCAAAAAGTTGACTATCGCTACAGCGGGAGGTAACCACGATTCAGCAACTTGCTACCCATAGCTTCACTTTTTCGTTTCTCAATATCTTAAATTGTTATAGGAATGACAGACTTCACATATCATCGCGTGGAGTAAAATCTATATCTTTTGCAGTAATATGCTTCCCGGGATGGCTTTTGAATCATTCTATACATCGATCATCAAGACTATAAAGATTTTTCTCACAAAAAGGATCGGTATATTCAGAGTCCCACAAATGGCGAGGATTACTCTGACATTCCCTATACTACTCAACGCACCGGATAAGTCCATAAGGGACATGGCCAGGACGGGAAGCTCATAGCCACATTATTGTGACAGACAATATGTTCAGAGAATAGATATCATCACAACTCCACATCAAGATGTTGAGCGGAAAGCGGCGTGAAAAAAAAAATGTTGTTGAGGAAAACCCCCTATTGAGGCATTATGTGATGATTCCAATTTAAAGGAAGAAAATAACCATGCTTGTAAGAAGCTTCCTGTTCTCCTCTAAAAGGATTATGTATCATCTGACAATTTACCTTTTGAACAGCCAAATTTTTAAAATCATAAACCCCTGTTTGTTCCTCGACAGTAATTCTAATTCTGGAAGAAGAACTCAGATATCAGTGGAGCATAGGTTTGGGTATACAAAGTCGAGAATCATCAATAAAGTTCCCTACAAGTTGATAAATTGCCTGCCAAATGATTGTTAGCCTAGCAGCTGTGTAGAGCTCATTTCTCCAATGATCTTGTCTAGAATTTGAAGAGGCGGGGGGGAAGAAAAAGAAAACAGATTTCCCATCTATAAGCATTATTGCTTTGCCAAAGATTAAGCTACATCTTCGAATGCGGAGCTTAAGGTTACGCCCTTGGTACTGTGAAATAACACATGATATAGATACTAACACCTCTATCACTTAGACCATCCTACACATACCTTCTTCTTTGAGGGAAAACCGGTGGTGAGAAAACATCGATTATGTAGACATTATAAGTTCCTTAATCGTGTAAAACTCGCAGAAGACCTGTAACGCGACAAACCAAGTTGAGTTGGACTATACTCAAGAGGAGGAGGCCCCATTATTCGCAACCCGTGCCACTAAAAAGATTTGTATTTCCAATTTCTTATGATTTTACTTACGTCTCGAAACTAAACCTAATTCTCATTGCGAACGCATTCGAAATCCAATTTGCAGGATATGAGCCCGTTTGTCTTTGTAATTGTGTCTTAGCCAGGTCAATCAAGCGCGATCTTATGCCAAACATACCAGACCTGAAGATCGAATCAAAGCACAGCAATTGATAACGGAAGCCACAAAATTGCTGTTCCAGACGAACATCAAGCATCCTACCAAGAGAGGAACAAATACAAAAAGGGAGCACGAGCAACCGCGAAGGCCGAATAAATCTACACAAAAGAGCGGTACAAACCGGCCGAGCGAACTCGATCTTAATCGGGTTCCCCTTCACGGAGGTCCCCTGCAGCGCGTCCTTGGCGGCGGCGGCGTCGTCGGGGCGCTTGAAGAAGACGAAGGCGAAGCTGCGGGCGGCGTACGAGGTGGCGTCGAGGGCGCCGTACTTGCCGAACACGTCCATCAGATCCGCGTCGGTGACGTCGCTGGAGAGGTTGCCGATCCAGAGGTTGTTCGACGGCGGCGTCTCGTGGTCGCCGCCGCCGCCCGATTCCTTGGCGGCCCCGTGGTGGGAGGGGCGGATGGACTTGCTCGGAGGCGGCATTGCCGGAGGAGGGGAGGAAACCCTAGAAAGGAGTGGCTGGGCTGAGAGATTGCGGACCAGATAGAAAAGAGCTCGGGAGGAAAAGAGGGATTGAAGTGTGTCCTCGAGAAATCGCGCGAGAGAGAGGCGAGAGGACGATATATATACACACACAAGTCCTTACGGTGGTCGCGAAAATTCAATCGTTTCCTAGAATTTTCAAAAAATATAATCGGATTTTAAAATTTATCGAGAAAGTGCAATTGAATCTTCAAACATTTAAAAAGTATAAATAAACGAAAGGACTTGATTAAACCGATTTGACAAATTTTATAACTTGATTGCACTTTTTGAAAGTTTTAGAACTCAATTGTTCTTTCCTGACAAGTTTTAAGATTTACTTTTACTTTCGTGATAAAGTTTAGGGCTTGCAATGCATTTATGCCTATATATATTTATATAATCGATGTAACGAAATGAGAGGGAGAGAAAAATTCTCGTATAATATTTATTTATAACGAGAGTTTTAAGCTTCAATAACCGCCTCACTTAAAAATTCTCATACAATATTTTAATTTTAGAAAAAATACGAAAGAAAATTGAGGTCATGCTAACTTAGGTCAATCGTATACAAAGAAAAAAAATACGATATAATTTCAAACTCAAATTCGTGCGGGAAGATTTCATGAATACCCGTATCAATTAACACGTAAATATTTGGATGTAAGCGATTTGAATATGTACGTACCTCCCCTTTTTCTATATAATCGAGAGCATCTTTTCACGCAATATAAAGAAGCCACTCAGAACGACTAAAGTATTGATTTGAAGCTGAAAAGAAAATTAAAGAAATTCCTTATCTTTTTTCGTTCATGTTAACCATCGTCTTTTATACAAGAGCAAATCATGCGGCAACGGCCTTTATGTAAGAAGGGAGCTTATCTTTTGTACTTGGAACCTTCCTGAAATAGGATCGTGTTGGAGTCTCCGGCACAATGCAAGAACATTGCCAACGTCAATAACGACTTCATCAGAAAAAAAAAAAAACGAGGTGCCGGGTTTGGAGCCCGGCCTTTCCTTTGAAACGAGAACAGTCTCTTCTTCTTATTTATATAGGGCGCTCGGTCATGCCTCCCTTTTCGGAACAAGTCCACGACGTTAAGAAAGATAAGGAAAGACCACGTAACGAAATTCGAGAACATATCGAAACCTAGTCCGTTAAGTCGCCACAACCGGCAAACCACCCGCTCATGAATTGAGTCGTTATAATCCAAAATTTGGTAAATCAATCCGTTAAGAAGGAATTCTACATTGCTTATAGTACCAACACGGACATTGATGGCTTGATTCTCCAAGGTGAAAAAGAAGACATGTAGGAATCATATTACAATTTTGCTTGGTTCTACCATCCGGGATCAGAGTAGTCACGCCCGATCAGATCGACGTCCTTGACCCAACTCTCAAAGTCTCAAGCTAATGAAGCTTTAAGACAACATCTATTGATACATTGTTGTCATAATCTATCTTGTGTGCTCATAGCCAAATGTCCGACAAGGTTGTAAAACATATTCCTTGCTTTGAGGCCGGTTCAACAGTACAAGTAGAAAAAATAAGAGAGAGAGAGAGAGAAACCATTGTGGTCCTTCGAACGGTTGCTGTTTACATGTCAACTTTGTCTGTACCTTGTGTGCTTGATTGCATCAGATTCAGATGTGTTGTAAAGGACAGGACAGTCTATTTCCGAAACTTCTCGACGCTAACGAAACCTGGTTAGAGGCTCAAAAGGAGAGCTTGTACTTCAATTCTACGATCGATCACTGTGCCTGGATAGAGATCCCCGAGTGAGATTGCTATTTACTAACTACATTTTAGTGACAATGCTGTCAAGCTCAGGTGATCAGTGGTCGACTGTTGCAGACAGTTTTCTCGCATTTGGACGAGTCCTCGTGCTACCAATCTTGCTTGCGGCGATGTGGCGTCGTGGAAAGAGGCAAGAAACTCACCAACCATTCTTTCAAGGTTTTCATTCCGCTCATCAGAACCTTTTCAAGTGCATCGATCTCCAATTCGTATTGTTCGTAAAGGAAGAAGCAAGTAAACGAACAGACAAGAGCTGCAATTGCAAATAACATCAATTAGGATGAATAAATAATAAATCTTGAACCGCTTTAATCTGTACTTGTGTATAGCCACTGATTCTTACCTGCACCAACTGCGAAAGTCAGGTAATATGATACAATCAGCTTCAAGAAATACATAGCGACTGCAGTCTGCATTAGTTTGAAAAATAAAGTAAATAGACTTTATAACTCCAAATGCATTGTTAGTATGCGACTTAGACCCAAGCGATATAGAGCTAATTGAGCATCAGCAACCCGAAAATCCAAGACGAATGCATCTGTCCGCTACCACATACATTGGATGTTATTTCACAACCAAGGTGGTTCACCGAGAAAAAAATGATAAAGAGTGCCGATATTCCCGAGTAGTTCAAGTCGTTACTTGGCAATGTATCAAGTTCCTTGTTCATGAGAGAACCTTCGATCTTTTCTTCCTGCCCCAGAAAAGTAAGCAAAGAAAAACTAAATCTTTTCTTCAGCAAAGAGACTAGACAGTATGACAGTCAAGCGGTGCATGATGCACCACTACAACCAGAAAGGGCAAAGCAGGGGTAGTACACTGTAATTATGAGTGGATATTGCTGTGATAGTACAGAAGACATCATTCCTGAAGTCTCAAATTGCTATGATGAGATGTGATCTCAAAACCTTCATTCCTCAGCCTTGTAAAAGTCGAAACGTCAGTGTTTACTCAATTAAAAGTTTGATTATCATCAAGTTATGCAGACATATTTTATCGCAGAAATTAAAGTAGAAAAAGTTAGCCAAAAAGCTTGATGCTGGGAGTGTAAGCTTGGAAGGCCCGGATAATTCTGGTGAATGCACCCATGGTAGTCTAGTCACTCCTATTTCACACTAATATCTACTTATTGGGATGGTAAACCCGTCAAACATATCATGAATCTACAGGCACTTGAACACCCTCATTGATGATCCTTTACTCCGACACATCTATGATTCCTCGAACAAGGTGATATCTCATCTAGGGTAAATCCTTAACTCATCGCCCTCTTCCTAAGATGACAAATTTTCTGGTGAACTAAGGCTGCAGTGATTTCTAATCCAGCAATATTAAGTAAGGCAAAGTTTGATTTTTAGGGGTGATGATATAAAAGTTGACTGACAAATGACCCTTACAGAACTAAGGGCTGCTCAACTGCATCCATAAGTACAAAAGAGTAGGCCTTCTTAGAAACTAGAAGATTTTGTTTTTGGCCAAAAGAAACCAGAAGATTGAATGACAAAAAAGTACTATACTCTACCTGACACACAAGGTATCTCTCCGTCTCTCAAGAAAGAACATAAGAATGCACATGCCCAACATGGTCATACCGTTTGCAAAAGTTGGCAGTTTTAGCGCATTATGCTTTAAGAAGAAATTACATGACACCAATGGTCATACCTCAAAGAAAATGTTCCAATCCTCTCCTTGTGCCAACGATCTAATAATATGGACCCCTCTGTTCCACAATGAGATGATACTCCCAAGCGACTCTTCCACTATGCTTTTTTGCATATCAAAACAAGAGAAAGATGTTGTTTTGATATTAGAATCGAACCTGTTACAAACAACCAAGCATATGATCTATCATTTCAGTGAGTCAATGCTAAAACACACCAGAAGATAGCCACTATTCTAGAGGAAGTATAAAGAGTCTTCAAGTACTTGCGGACAAGAAAATCATTTTTTTCAAATGCAAAAGGGATCCCAGGCCTTTATACATAGCGAGACATTTAAAAACTACGTGTAAACAATTGCTCTTGCCGATAAAGCCAACAAGTTTACCCTAGAGATCTTGCTAAAGGAAAGTATGTATTGCATTCCTGTCTGTGAGGATAATGAATACTGTTTCTACAATGATTTTTATATTGCATACTACTACAGAAAAAAGAAAAAAAAAAAAAAAAGCTGCCACACAGTCACTGATCAAATAGCAAACCAAGAATATTTCATGCTTAAAGGCAAAAGCAAAGCACCTGACAAGCCTTAGCAGAATTCTAACCTCCAACAGAAAAAGTATGGCTATATCACTGGTTAGGCATAAAAGAGAGGCCAACAGGAACTAAGCAGAGGGAGAACTTGAATTAGTCAACTTTTGCAGGGACACATAAATGACTTAGCTTAAGAGAAACTTTTGACAGAAAACCTAGAAAAGGATGGCAAAAAAAGAAAGATCTTACTTGTAGTAGTAACAAGCATTTATACTTACAGGTTTGATGTCAGATAACCGTACCCAAAGAGTGCCATCATCATCATGAGTAGAAGATAAGCAGTAGATGAGATAAAACTTCTTCCACTGATGAAGAACCAGTAAAACAACACCACCGATACCAGAAAGTAGGCAAATGTCTCCTTCTCATCTCTCCAAAGCAAAATGTCCGCTACTGCAGTAGCATGACATGTCAGAAAATTTAGACAGTAAAGTTTCGTAATGAAGCATGTATTTGTCACATGCATGACACCGCATAACAAGACAAACTAGAAGGACTTTCATAGTGAGACCAGACTAGCCTATTCAATGGGTAGAAATGGCAGCTGTGCTTAGGTCCGGTCCGGATATTTTCTTCATCAATTAATCTGACGTTTGGTCAATTAGGCTCTTTTTGCAATAATGATGATGGCAAAGGATGAAAAAGCTGTAAAAGATCAGAGACAAACAATGTATGTTTTTGAAAACATCCTGCCATTACATGTTACCACAACAACTGACTGCACTTTGCTACTCCACCAAGAGCGATGGCAGAACGAATGTACTGAATTTTTAGGTTATGTTACAGTTACATTAGGACATAGAAATTTTGTCAAGAAACAGTTGCACTATTTTATTTTTTTTTGGTCGGGAACAGTTGCACTATTCAATTCATGCAAATAACTAAATTAAGTAATGGTCACTTTACAGAAAACAGCATTCAGCAACTTGGAGAAGGCATACAGAAAAGGTAGATCTATGTTGTAGACTCAAATATCTAAAGAGCTTTATTGACCAAGAAATTTATTCTGAACAGAATCATCTTCAGAAGAAGACTAAAAATGTAGCTTTTCACCATGGACAGTAAATTTAAAACGTTGATTTATAGACTTTTAAACTTAGTTAAATTCTTCGCTTGAACACAACATAATTAGCACTTGCACCAAAACATGGGTTAATGAACTTTAGCACAGGTATTCATGGGCTGGGGTTTACCTGCCTCAGGAGGATTCCTTGTGATAAAATTAATTAAAAAAAAAAAATAGCACGGGGAGAAGGTCAATGAGAAATAAGGTTGTTTCCATTTCTTCTGGCAGAGTAATAAGATTAATTCATTAATCTAATAAAAACCTCAGCAAAGTTTGATTATGAATCTACAAAAACAAATTTTCACAGTAAGAGTGGTATCACTAAAGAACCTAAATTATATATCATGGAGTAAAAAGAAAATACAACCTTTTCCTCCGCCAAGCATCCAATCTGCTTTTGACTGATCGGGAAAATCACCTTGTCCCCCATAAGATGAGTCTCTGGAATAATGAGAGAATGACGCAATGGTTCTTGCGATGCCATCCTGTTTGAGCAATAACAAGTGAATACCCACATTCAGACTCACATTGTTGAGACTAAGCAAGGACAACCATGTTGTGGCAGGAAAGCTCAAAACTATCACTGACATTGCCACAAATACCCCTAACTGCAAAATGATTTGATTGAGCATCCTAGTATCCCAATGAAAGTAAAGTAAGGGAACAAAAGGTGACTGGCAACAAATCAATGAAGCGAACATCCAAGTTGAGGACGACATAGCAAGTATAAAAGTAAGAGAAACATGCTGCAATAATACCCAAGACGAGGACCAAAAATGTAGCAGTTTTCCTGTATACTACTTTGGGATTGAGTAAAATATATGCAAAGTGAAAGAGAACTGCTTGATACTGCTAATGCTCAAAAGAATTATCTACAAAAACCAAATATAAGTTGATAAGGGAAAAAAAGATGTGTTCCATGGCAACTACCAGAGCCTGAGAAACTACATATCATTGTCAAAACTTAAAAGACAATGAGATTGACATTTTGCATATTCCCCAATAAGTTAACAAGCTCTTCCACCTAAAAGGAAATCCCAACATAAGTTTTGATGAAGCTCACGGTTGAAAGGACCATTGACGGCCCATAGATAAGGCCAATAATCTGGCAAAACCTACTCTATAACGTGCAAAGCGCTAAAAGCAACAGCTTAAGAGGAGATGCTCACTTCTAGGGAAACAATCGGCAAGTATTCAACTTGCTTCCGGGCTGCACTGCAATCAAAGGTTCTATTCCGGGAGGCTACTTGAACAGAAAGGCGAGCTGACAGCATATAACTGTTCTTTGCGATGCCCAATGATTCAAATATCCCTTCAAGAAGCAAGAAAAAATAGTAGACCATGCTAACAGGCAGCTTTATGACAGGCCTGCAATCAAGAGACAGATACTTAGCAAGCGAGGAGAAGTGATTATTACTGGGAACAGTCGGTTTTAAAAGGGTCAAAATTACAAGCTTACTGGTGTATAAACACTTCTAGGAAAACAACAACCAAATACCAACCGGTTAACCAAATCCGAAATCAAATTAAGCAAATATAAAAGTAATGCAATGCATCTGAAATATTAAAGCTTGATATCATAGTTATTTATTAAAGCTGTTAAATGAGCAAACCTATTCTTGAGAAAAAAATTGCTTAACTAGCATCTATCCCACCCCCCTCAAACCCATCCTCCAAACCCAAAAGAAAATGACAAAGAAAAAGCCACCACTTTAGCAAGTAAAGTTCAACACTAAATAATTCAACTAAGTAGTACAAAAAACACAAACAACTGATCTTAAGAATATAATCAGCGGAATAGGTGCAATACAAATGCGATTCTCATAGTCTTTCAGATTTGTGGAACAGTGATTTACATACTAACTCCAAATTTACAATAGATGGTGCTAGTGCAATCAAGATTTCCCTTCACCTTTGATATCCCAAGCCTTCCAATAGGACAGAGATGAATTCCCAGAACTTCACTGGTTCATTGTTAGTGATGAAGAACGCCTAAAACAGTCCAAAGATCAGCAACAGTAGAATCATGATAGCAAAGAGATCAGTGGCCAGTGATGTAACCGAAGCAATACCTTTCCTGCTACAGAGACAATCCGAGAACATAAAGCTTCTTCCGCACAAATATGGGCATGAGCTACATTCTCAATATAGGTGAAGTCGCACATATTTTCTCCACCTCCTATGATAAACTGAAATGAGAAGTTCTGTTACCTTAAAAATGATTCTTGATGGAGTTAAAAAAGCAATATGCGATCACAATAAGAAGACTCAAATTTCACAAATCAGGGACGAAAACTAAACTGCCATGATCACAGAGTAAATCCACTACATTACCAAGAACATTTGGTAGCATAAACATTCAATTTGGTCAACAAAATTGTCATATAAGGGAACAAAAAGAGATGAGGAAAATAAAATACAAGGATAAGAATGAGTTGCTCCAATCATACTACTCAACAATAGTTGTAATACAATGCAGACTGGCATAAAAATCAATAACATATACAGACCTTGTACAACTTCAGTAATACAAAATGTGGCGACTTATATTAATTGAGGAAGTGCACGGAAATTTCGCAAACCTTCATCCAGCCAGATTGTGCTAGCTTTACAACTGCTGGCACAAGCTGCGTATCTCCAGGACCAAAAATGCCACTAGGACGAAGGGCACATGTCAAGAGACCGTCAATATCGTTTGCAAACAAAACCAGTGCCTCCGCTTGAGCCCTGAGGTCACTCAACATGTCTGCATACTGCTTCATCGTACAGATAAGATCACGAAAGGAACTAGTGCGTGAAAGGATGAATGAAAGAAATCCTCATAGAATGTGAAAACGGCTCCGTCAAAGAAAGATACATGCCTTCCAAGGGTATGCCAATGATTCATTTCCACTATTTATGTCCCTTGAACCATCGAAAACAACATCCGCAGAGCTGTTGTATATTAGCCGTTTGACTTTGCACTCTCTACAAGCGTTTATGACGTTTTTTACACCTGCATCGACATGTGAAGATGCTAAAACAGCTAAACCACCCGACTGTATTAATTCCAAAAGTACCTTTCTACATGGTTTTACTATTGCTGACGGAGCAATTTCTTACCTTGAACAATGATCATGTAAGAGTTGTAGAAATCTTGACCCAACAAATCGGTAACATCCGTATAGAACACAGCCTGTGAACCTTTGATAACTGTGAAGGTAATATCAAAACCAAAATGGATCGGTCATTCCTATTTTATATTGGAAGAATAAGACCATGAAGCAGCAAAAATCAGGAAGAAATGGGAAAAAGAAGATCTGACGAGTTTTATTTCATGCTAAACACGACAGTTGGTACCTCTCTCTCGTTCTCAACCCAGAACCAGAAAGATAGCATCCGTAACACACTTTTGTGAGAATAGAATGCTCAGATATTTTATTTTACGTTCAAACAGAGCAACCAACCAGATTGCAAATCGAGGAGCATGATATTTCCAATTACAGGTGAACAAGCACAACTGGAACTTACTCATGCTAGTTAGCTGCCATGGAGACAACAACCATTCAAATCATAATTCTACACCAAACATTTCTCTTGTTCCTTTTGTTTTAATATGGCAATTATATCGTACAATAGCCCGCTATTTTGCGGTCAAACACCTTCAGCGCTGAGAATAGAGTGCTGCTCATTTCTTAAATTTGAGATGAAAATTGAAATGCAAAGTTTTTTTCATGATAGTATGCAATGATGACCGCGACTATAGTCACATGGCAAGGAGAAAACTTTGGTTCCCATATAACACGTGGGCAAACGCAGTCGTGGAATGGAATGGCCGGGTCAAATTTGTTAACCAGCTGCAGAATACTCGATAAACACAACTCCATGAACCACACAGCAATCTCTCTGGGGTTCTCCTAGATTTTGCAACGAACATAGCCCGACAATGGTAAACCTTTTGATTCAGCAGCAATCTCTCCTCACTTTCCCAACCACCTCCTGCCACGTCACCATATACGCAATACGCAGAACAACAGCCGAAACACACCACACGGCAAACGTTTCCCGACCTCACACTTCCTTCTCCTCATATCTTCACCGTCCACGTTTCTACGTCCGATCACATGCACAAGGCGCGAATCAGGCTCTCCTCACCTGCGAGAACGGACGATCGGTCGCGGACGTCGAGGTGATGGTAGGAAGCCAGGCCGGCGGAGATGGCCTGCGAGAGGAGGAGCGCCGCCGCCTCGTCCCGCTCCGCCGACGGATCGAGCCGAAGGGAGCGGTCGGAGTCGGCGACGCGGACGATCCACTTGCCGAGCTCGAGGAGCCTGAGGACGAGCCACCGCCCGACGAAGCCGCGGCCGCCGATGACGACGCAGGTCCGCCTCCTAGGGCTCGAGGTGGCCGACCAGCTGTCGCCGATCGCCGCCATTTTCCGTTACGCAGAGAGAGAGAGAGAGGGAGGGGGGGAGGGAGAGAGGGGGGCTTCGCTCGCATCAAATCAAGGGGCGGGGGGTGATGATGGCGGGGAAATTATAATACGAAGGAAAAAAAGAGACGGTCGTGAAGTTTCACGGGGCGGGCGGGCGGGCGGGCCCCGGGAATCGGGTGACCGGGTCACCCGGTCAAATCCTTTTGGGGATTCCACTATTTCCCTTTTTTCGTTTTCTCATCCATTCCATTTCACTCATATATTATGAACAAATGCACTCAAAGTCCTAAAATTTATCACGAAAATACAATCGAGTCCTAAAATTTCCAAAAAATGTAACAGAATGACTTGATTGGACCAATTTGATAAATTTTAGAACTCGATTACACTTGCATAACGAGTTTTAAAACTCAATTGCACTTTTTAAAAATTTGGGAACTTAATTACTCTTTCATAATAAATTTTATGACTTTTGATACACTCGCCCCTATATATTATCTCTTCGATTTCACCCACCAATTTTCTTCACCTTGGGTTATTTAACTCTCACGGATAAAGAAATAACAGTATTTATCATTTGCCAGTAGAATATACCGTCAAAATATTGACATGCCGTTATTTAACGCGATAAACATGATAATTGACGAGAGAGGAGGGAAGTGGCAAGGGAGATAACAATAGGCATTGTCACGGCCCGGCAGCTTGGCAAATGATGCGGTGAGGATTTTATTGTATGCGAGAGTCGCGATCGACACCTTCTCACGAAGGTGTTGTCTGGTGGTAAACGGAAACTATCGATTTTCTTTCTTTGCCCTTCCTTTTACGTCTTATCCACTTACGAAAATGAACGTGCTAACGAGTCGATAATGTGAGAAGGCAAATGAGGGATTGGATCACACCAAATTGGTCGGAAGATGCGACTGAAATAAAAGTCCGAAAGAAGACTGTTCTTTCCTTTTCGAAATCCCATCAGCTCTAATGCCTTTCTTTCTGGATAGGTGGAAAAAGAAACGTGGGATAGGAAATTGAAAAAGATAAAAAAAAAAGTTATCTCCACCACTTCTCCTTCTCCCACTTACTCTTCTTTCCTAAACATAGGCTTCAACTTACCAACTTTGACAAAGTATCCAATCGTAGGATTCAAGAGATGTCTGACTCCCCAGTACCGCTCATTCCAAAAGACGGCATGCTTTTACAGCACAGTTGGTGAGCCGACCATTAATAGCCAAACAACAGCGAATGCTTAAGACTGAAGAAGTGCACGGGGAGATCAAAAGAGCCTCTCAACTTCACGGAAGCTGACGTCAGTCCTTTGGAAGAAAAGCAGAGAAAGGAGACACGTGGTGTTGGTTGGGAGAGAGAGAAAGCTTCATTAGGTCACCATAAAGAATGCCCAAAAAGAAGGTGGTAAAGTAAGTTTGGTAAACAAATACGTCAACTAAAGGGTTTCACAATTTCCCAAATATCAAATTGCAGGTGAAGTGCTCACTTCAGTCCGCCGCAACCAAACCGTGTCGTCCCGTCTTTGCTTTTCTTAGGGAATTCCCAAGCTCTGATGTGTGGTCATACACTGACATCCTCCCAACAAAGTCATTTTTTTTCCATCTCTTCTTTGTCCAATAATAGCATTGGAAGCACACGCACGGCATGCACTTGATACATGATAATCTTTGGATATCAATGATATGCATAGAAAGCGAAACGCCCTTTCGTGCTACAATGAAGTGTATATTAAGCGGGAAGCGCGATTGTGAAAGGTGAAGTTGCTAGAAATCAATTGAATATGGAGACAACGGAATTACGCGGAGTTATTCATTAAGTAAACTATTCATACTCTTCTCCGAGTAAGGCCGACAATCTTTCGCATGACAAGTTACCACGTTACGTAGATAAGGAAAGTTTTATTATGCCTCTATTACATGATGCAAAAATGTTATTTTCCTCAAATATCAACGAACTAAAAATGACTGCCAATCCGGGATGGCCATTTGAGTTCGGTCATTTCTATGCAAACTCCGCGAGAAGATTCTCAACCAACTCAACAGAACCCCATAACCCAACAGCTCTTAAGGAAGCGAATCCTAATTGTTCACACAATCGCAAAACATGTTACTTTGAAGCTCATTAAAAGCCTGTCGATCACTGCCTCTCCCTGAGATTCGACAAAATCACCTCACTGGTCAATCTTCAATATACATGGTGCATGATGCAATCACAGTTCAGAGAGGCACGGTGTGACAGCCTTCTTATCCGGCACATTCATGAAAGCACGTGTTGTGATACTTTCAAGCAGAAGAGAGTATATGCTTCACAATAACAATATGCCTTTTTACCAAACAATTGCTCGAAGAATCAATCCAGTAATTAGATCTCACGTTACCGGAACTACAATCGTCGAATGAACGACCACTTATAGACGCATTCACAAGCTCACCTCTATACAAAATCTGAAATAGCTATTGACAAGCTCAAAAATTATCCTTTGCTTGCCTGATAACTCGCAATGCCTCAGCATCATCTGCTGCGGCTGGAATACTTAGCGACTGTCGAATCTCCATGCTCGAAGTGCGAAGGAATGGATTACACATTTTCTCCGTCTTCAAAGTCGTTGGGATCTGAAAAACCAGAAATCGTCACATTACAGAAACCGAAAGCATCTAACAGTAATATCCACCACACCAACAAAGAAAACTGTCCCATAGATATATCTTGATTTAAATTGATATCTGACTCAAACAGAATCTGCATAATCATAAATTACTGCGCACCTATAATTGCATCTGAATAAAAGGTCTGGAACTATTGTTATTAACTCATGCAATTCAGAAGTTTGACCGAGGTAAGAAAACCAAACAAGCCAGTCTCAAGATCTGCATCTCCCCACTCTGAGAATCTTTCAGTGTCCAGAGAATTAGTTTATTGGAGGCAAACCAGAGCTGACCTGTCAAATATGGCTACATAAATACTCTTTCTCCTGTATTTGTCCCTGAACATGGTGAAGCAACCTAAAATACTAAGTTAATTGAAGAAACTATCATAAGCCCATCAGACGGGCAAAATAGAAAAACCAAGATAGCCTTGCTAAGCATTATTCTAAACTGCATTTAATGTGCTTTGGGAACACAAAGTGGGCTTTTCATGTTTCCACGTACGACATGTTACTCATTTTCGCGATCTTGACTTTTACAAACTTTCTCTATATATAGTTAGCTGAGATAGTGCCCTAAAGGCACTCATTAATAGGTCCATTTGCTAATATATAACATCTAGGTACAGCGGCCTCAAATTGCTATAACACCTCATCGGTAACACGGGAAAATTACAACCGACCGAACATGAAGTCATATCACCCAGAAAAGATTTTATAAATCAAATATATGGCCCTTTATAAGGAAAAGGCACTGTTGCTTTGCATATTAATATAAAGAGCTCATTTTTAGGACATCACATGCACAACGCTTTGAAAAAATATAAGTCTCTTGCTATATGAAAACTCGGCCAAAACCGTCAGCAGTAGTCACTGCACCATAAATAAAATGTTCGATGAATTCTTCAAAGTTAAAATTATTAATGCCAAATAAAAACTGGTCCAAAAGTACCGTTGCTGTGCCTTTGCTGCGAAGATGAGCAACTTGGGCCGCATAATTTTTAAGCGCTTCATTGTTGGGTTCTATAGACAGTGCAAACTTTGAATTACTCTGCCAAGAAATGACACCCAATTAGAGCTTTCATAAATTTGAGCTTGGGAAGGCTTAACAACATAAGAAGATAACTTAACTAACCAATGTATATTCATGACCACAATAAATGTTTGTATCATCAGGCAAAGCCGTGATCTTTTTGAGGGATGAAACCATCTGCCAGAAAAATCAAAAGTTCATATCTGTCACTGATTATTAGCCAAATCTGGCCCAAAAAAATAATGACTATTAGCAAAAGCAGAACAAGCAGGAGATAAGCGGTAAAAGCACAGTTATTGGTATGAGAACAGTCACCATTTTAAGTGAGTGTCACAAAAAGACATTCAATACTTCCCAGCACTAAAGATGGATGTTCCAAACCAATATTGGATGTGAGACTCAATGAAAGTTGACTCTCAGTCCTAAAATGTTTTTAAATAGAAATGTAAGAGCTAAATTCGTCTCTCCTTAAGACAACTGGAAAGCACCATCAAAAGGAAACAGTAACAGAACAGGGGATTCGGCGCAAAATGCTTTGTTCCTGCCTATGCGAAGAGGCATTTCCCTCTAAACTGGTAGTTCTTTTTTTTTTCCTGGCCATAACTTGTCCTTCTCCTTCAACAGAACCAAACATAACCAAGTTCTCTAACTTCTGGACACATCACTAGTTGAATTAGAATATCTATCAGTCATAGCAACAAACGAAAACTTATCTACTACCTAACTTAACTACTACATATTTGACAATAGGACAAGAGAAAAGTTAAACATTTAATTCCCATACTTCCAGAAGTTAACCATCACGATTTCTACCGTTCCTCAAACAGTCATTTCTATATTTTCCTCGGTATTTGTCCCACATAACATCATTTTCAATATCTAAAGCCGCAAAAAAAGAAAAAATATATATTATTGCAAGCACAAATAACCTGTTCAGGAGTCCCTTCAAAGAGCTTGCCACACGATAAGCTAAACAATGTATCTCCAGTGAAAATTACTCCAGATCCAGGAAAATAAAAACTAATGTGGCCTGCCACACAAAATCAATTTGATGCATTAGAAAGAGGGAGAAGAGGCCAAAAATACTCGTGCAATCTGATGCTAATGAAATATCCATAAATAACATACTAGACCAATTTCCGTCAAAAGCCTCTAAACGAAGCAAAAGTAATTGGATAGAAAGCTATGTTCATTGCACAGTCATGTGAGTCATGTATGAATCTCCCAAAACAGGCATCCCTTGGGGGAATCATATCCTCCATAGATACTAAAAATTTAGTGCAGATCTTGTAAAAGTAGGCAAAACCAACAAAGTATGGCATGCACCAATCGCAAAAGTCTCAAGCAAATTAGAGGAGTGTTATGGCTTAAAGAGCAAATGAAAACCACAACTGTATAGGTGTCCATACGACTTTGTGTGAGCCATATTGCCTGATAAATATAAAGAGCTAATTTAAAGAAATCTGATTCCACCACTCAGAGACTAACAGCCAAAGTTTCTCGAAATAAATAAGGAGAACCCAACCTCGAGTGTGTCCTGGAGTTTCAATCACAAGCACCTCATGTCCAGCGAACATCCATTTATCCCCATCTTTGAGGGCTATATCTATGCCAGGTATTCTGTCCCTGTCTATTCCTGAACCAATCACCTATAAGAGTTGAAGGTATTATGAGCTAATGCAGAAATTGCGAACTGCAAAAAATGCTTGAGCAGGACTTTGGTAGAACAAAAAAAATCTTCTTCAGTGCTTGGAAAGGGCACAGAGAACACAAATTGCAGACACTGAAGCTTAAGAAAGGTATCGAATGATTATAAGTTTCAATTGTCAAATCCTAAATCTTTACATTATGAAACAACCAAATATATTGTCTGCAGATTAAGAAACGTCCTAATCTACCTCGAGTAAATTTTTAGAAGTAGGGAGACTAATTTTGTGTGTTTCTTATTCCCATTATGATGTATAAGAGCAAATAGCTCGTTGACTCTAGAAAGGACAAAGCCAATACTAGCTTCAGCCATGTTTTTAGGAGGCTATATAACACGAAAAACACAGTGCTGCATCAGCATGACCAGAAAACAAGTTGTTGACCGTGCAAAACTAGGCAATCTCAACCAGAACATCCAATCCAATCTAAATAAAAGAATCCAGCAGTAAGCTACTTCAGGCAGCAGGTCGCACTATGATGTAATTTTCTTTCCTCAGAAAGTGTCAATTACAAACCCATAATGGATCTAGTCCTGCAAGAAGAGCAATTTATAAGTGCATCCACTATAAGTCTCATCATATGTTAAAAGTTCTCAAAAACTATTCTCTCTCTATAGAGAACATGCGTATTTATGATTGCTTAAGTGTAACTTAATTCATTATGCTCCAACTTGACATTGGCTAAACCCCTTGGTCAGAATAAAAACAAATGCATGGAATAAAGATTCAGCTAAGTAACTTGAGAGATCAGGTTTTCATATCATTCTAATAAAAATATATACACATAACAGAAAAAAGCTTCTTGCACACACATTCCATCCTTGACTTTTTCCCATGTATATCTAAAAAGTTTAGAAGAAGAGTAGCAGTAAATGTAGTTAATTAACAAGATGATGCATCATACCTTAGCACCGTACCTTGCTTTTAGCTCCACGTTGCCTCCAGTGTGATCAAAATGATGATGGGTATTTAATATGTAGGTGAGATTTCGGTTTTTCCTACTCAGAGCATCAATTATAGGTCGAGATTCAGAAGGATCAACCACTCCAACTGTCCCAGTATCCACGTCATGTAAAAGATATGCGTAGTTGTCCGTGAGACATGGTACCTATGGAAAGGTGCAAAGAATTATGTATCCACGCAACAAAGTACAAATGAAATTTCTGATTGACCGAACAGATACACCAAACGCTAGTGAAAACTAAAAAAGTAGACACACAAAAAATTCTACTGGATACTTTTAATTAACATACTTTGGAATGTACCAGAAAAATAAGCATCTGTAAATGTACCCAAAGGTATGATTTAAAATCACGTCATGGGAAAAGGACATATGATTAGATATGATTATCCAGGAGCGTTTAAAGTAGTAATCTGACTTAGAACGATAAACAACGAAGCCACTAGTCACCTTTTGATGATTATAAAGTTATTGCCGCACAACAGGGATGAATAGAACAACGGAAGTAACTTCAACATCTTCCATGAAGTTGCACTCAACAACTATTCCAACAAGACCCAATCATCCATGCTGTCATCCATCTTCCATATTTTACTAAGTTAATGACATCGACACAATCATACGCAGTGGACAACATCCACTGAATAAAAAACAAAAACAACTAAAAACAGTAGGGACAACAAAAATATCTCTTCCTTAGCAATATGCAGCAACATTAGATGGAAGCAGACCCTTTAGAATCTACTCTTTCTAAGTTGTCAATTATCTTTACCCAGGCCACGTAAGTTCTTTTCCATTTAGAATCTACTCTTTCTAATTTGTCAATTATCTTTACCCAGGCCACGTAAGTTCTTTTCCATTGCATGGGTTCCTAATTTTCTCCATAACTATTGAGCAATTCTATTTCACTGAGGAAAATTCCAGCATCAATTCAAGGATTTACGTAGGATAAGTCTCCGACAATAATTTCAACTCCGAGAAGCATATAAGCGTCTCCACAAACAAAGCCTTCACTATCCAAGCATCATTATCTGACCATTCTCTGTACTACATAATTCACAGCTCAGAATAAAATTCAGAAGAAATAGCAAATTCACGTTGTAATTATTTGCATTTCTATCGGTTATTAAGACTGTACATAACAAAATAAGAAGCTAAATACTTCACCAAAAAAAAATTTAAAAACTTTACCAAAAAAAAAATAAGAAGCTAAATAGAAAGAATGCGACAGTACGCCTGTCTGCCTGATGTAACCCAGGCGAGACTCACCAATTCAATCTGTAAAGAGGAGGACATGTTATACACGGTGCAAAATTGAGTAACTTTGAGAGATCTACTGGCACCCCACAAGGTCTTGAAAGGAATAGACAGGAAACGCAACAACCCATACGGAAGTCCTTTCCTCAAACAAAGCTGTTTCATGCCTGGCCACACGCATAGCCCGCTCTTCACCTGAATTAAACAAAGCAAGATTATGAAGATTTTTACAAGAAAAGGTTGGCAAATATAGCTCGAGAAGGGACCCGAAAGCACCAAGTCAACTAAGAGAGAGGGCAAGATATAGCAATAGACAAGCACAGTGACAATCAATCACAACCGTTTACCCAGTAAACACCGCCTCCAAGAGGGCAGCAACGTAAACAGACATAGCTTGTGAAGAAGATCAAGAACCCAACTGAAGATTCAGGACACGAGATCACAGTCAAAAAGGTACTCAACTTAGCGCCGGATCAAACGATACGGGAGACCCAAGCTAATGCCCAAGTAAAAGAAAAAAACGCAAGTTCCGCGATCAGTGTCTCTACAGCAGAGTCGCGGTCACGCATTGCCAAACAAGACAAGGAGGACAAGGAATCATCCTTCGATCAGGACACGGCGACACGACAGCAGACGAAAGCATAGCCGAAATCGGAACCAGTCACTTGAGAAAGGCCAAAGCGCCACAGCAGAGCGGAAGAAAAACAAACGGGACAAAAAAGCTCACTCCGGCACTAGACCTTCCTCCATCCATTAAGGACCCAGATTTGCTACCGAACAAACGTGCAGCGATCAAACACTAGCGAACCAAAAGTAATAATATCATATTCGCCGGTGCGATCCGAGTCACCGTGCGGAACACGATTCGGCCAAGGAAATGCGCGCATGGCGCACTCGAAATCGAATCATGTGGACTTAAAGAGAGGGGGAGAGGGAGAAACCCTAACCCTAGAACAAGGGAAGGAAGCCATGGTGCAGGAAGCTTTGGAGATCGTCTGCATCGCTTTCTTCCTTCTTCGCCAAATCCTCCTCCTCCTCCTCCTCCTCCTCCTCCTCGCTCCAGAAAGAGAGAAAAGAGTGACAGGACTGCTTGGTGGAGAGAGAGAGAGGGAGGCAGTGTGTGTGGGCTGGCGCTTTTCTTCTTTTATGGCAGTTGGCAACTTGCTCGGGTGCTTCATTCATTCGTTGTTATCAAAATTATAAAATAATAAATGATGATAATAATAATAAGGAATAATGATACAAATAATATTTAAATTTTAGCTCAGACTAGATTAAATATTTTCATATATTTCAAGAACAGAATTGAATATGTACCAAAAATTTAGGGATAACATTGAACGAATTAAAAGTTCGGGGACCACATTGAAAATTAGCCTAAAGTTCAGGGACTTCATTGAACAAATTAAAAGTTCAGAGACCAAATTGCACGTTGAGGCAAATTTCAGGGACTATTTGTGTCATTTTCCCTAATAATAATAAGATCTGCAAAATTGAAAACTCTCTCTAGTTAATTAATTAATTAATTAAAAAAAAGCGGCTCGTGTTTATTGTCAATAAACTTTTTTTTTAACGAAATTCTACCGTGTAGTCGAGCTGAGCTGAGCCAAGTTTGTGCATTGTTGAATTCAAGCTCAATGACCCTCGACTCGAGTCCTTACATGTTCGAGGCTCGAGCTCGGTCAAGCAATGATTCTTCCTTCTGAACTAAAACATTAAGATCTTAGAGCCCGACCTAATTACGATAAACGTTTAAATAGAAATTCGACCTCGAGTTTAGGTATATCTATTTTTGTAATCGTAAAATGTTCTTGAATATTAAAAAAATTAACTTAGGAGTGTATCAAGTTCAGTAGTGACAAGTTCGACTCGAAGAAGATGCTTGAGTGAGTCGAATTCAAGCTCGGCTCGAAATCAGGCGAGTCGATCTCGAGCAGCTATTGAGCCGACCCTGAGTTGTAGGCATATGAATAGCTCGACTCGGTTTTCGTCCCTACCGTAAAATGAAAAATTATTTGCATTTGAGCTCTTAAAAAAGTTGAAAATTCGACCTTTATTTAACTGGTCAGTACTCTAAATCGATGTTTGGGTTCTTAATGTCACCAATAAATATAAAAGAAATTATAAATATCACAAAATTCGCTCATCGATCAGCGACCACTAAATTTTAAAATTTGCAAAATTAATTTATTTTTTATGGTGGAATGGGATCCAGATGTAATGGCTTTTTTTCTGGTTCAAAGACGCTTAAAAATTAGAATAGGGAAAACAAAATATGCTGGCCCGACTTTATTATATTCTTTTCGAAGATGCTCCTCGAGCCACGTTGACACGCACGTGCCCTCTTTATTTTTATTTTATTTCTTTTCTCTCGCATTTTATTTTTCTACAGTAGAGAAACACGACCTCGTCGCACTCAACCCCACATTCCACCACATAAAATAAACCCGATTTTTTTAAAATGCTAATAGGAAAAATCGTCCACAATAAATTTGTTTAAAGATAGTCCATTGAATATCCTTTTTCCATAATTTCCGTACCACAACAATAAAAGGATATACAAGAATATACCACGCTATACGCGATTATTTTATGTCCGTTTGGTACAAACTACAGAGTCATTGTTGCACGATTAAGGCGTTGTGGTTATATGACCGTTTGCTATAGGCTCTAAAAGCGTCGCGGTAAAAAAAGATGAACATCTATCGATATAGATCAGTTTGTTAAACCGTATTTATGACTGATCGTGGTTAACTTTTCGTATAATGTCACGGATGATGATCCTTATGTTTTTTTTTTTTCTCAAGATTCAAAATCGTCGTTTCGTCATTATTTTTTTCTTTTTTGATTTAAGGCGGTCCATTTACCTTTTAAGATTGTCCAATTTTAGATATGTTGCCTCGTTCGTCGTTGTCGCCGCCGCCGCCTCGGGGGGTTCGCCCCGAGAGTCGTCCGTTCCCTCTTTCGCATATCTAAGACCCGGAGGCGACCGCCGCCGCTAAGTGCTGCCCCCCAAGCAACTATTGTGAGGTGGTCGCACGCCTCTAACACAATGACTGCCGCCGAGGTGCGAGGCGGCGGCCGCGGTAGTGAAATGGCCTTCAGGCTCTCTGTTCTTGTTTGTTTTGCTCGGCAATTATTTTTATAAAAAATATTTATTATAACTATGTGACGCTTGCTTGACGCTACATAAGAAATTTAAGTAGATTATATTATCACATGTGCATCTTGATATCCAGCCCAATTTTAAGGCGCCCACCTCATCATTCATATGAAGCATTTTAAGAGAAGGACTAGTTGTGAACCATTTTGATAAGGATGATTTTGGTATAAAGAGAACAGTAGAGGAACAATCTTGATTTTTGAGTAAGAATGAAAGGACCATTTGTGCCAGTTTACCTATAAAAACTCAGAGAGAGACTGCAAACTGCACGGTGACATCTAGGCCTGCAACCACCGCGAAGGGGTGGCGGCGGCGAGCGCTCTCGAGTCTTAGCCATGTATCTGTGGGTGGTCGCGTAAGAGAGAGGGTGCATTTGGTTCAGCAATTTGAAATGACTCGAGGACGAAGGGTGACATTTTCTAAAAGGTAGCCCCACCATATTAAACAAAAAGGGGAAGTGAACGGATGATGTTGAGCAAGAGTACAAGGACTACTTAACCTAAGACTTTAGCACAGATAGCAGCAAATCGATGAACAGTTTTAAAGTTTCTAAAGCAGCAGATTTTGACACAATACTCAAAAGATCGAACGTTAAGAAGGAAACACAACTCGAATTTCTTTAGTAACCATAGCAGCCACCCAGAAGAATCATATGTAGTTAATGAAGAAAGAACTTCATAGTACAAGGCTCTAACGACCTTCATATTTAAGCCGAAACTATGACAGGATTTCTTTTAAGGATCCATACTTGAAAATGTAAGCAATTGTCCTCCTCAAACGTAATCTATAGCACAAACAGAGAACAGGTAAATTAACCTTCTCGTTTGTTGTAGCTTCTCACATCAAGGACTGGATATATACCCATAAGCTGTTTCAGCACGAAAAGATCTCTCATCTCTTTTAGAAGTGCATAAAGAATTGAGGAAGCCTGCACGTCGTCACAGCTCGTCCTGCAATCCACAACAGGGGCAAAAGCATCATTCATGAATGCTGAACGCATTTTGTTCGTAGCAGAGAAACTGTGAAAGACTCAAGTGTGCAACTCAGTCATCACCATTCTTTTTTTTCTCCGTTTTTTTTCCCCCTGTTTCTTTTGCATGGTAAAGTGGCTTATGAGCATCCAGGATTTTGAACCCCAGACGCCGGAGCACGGAATAAAATCCCAATTTCAACAGCACAAAGTGGATAGCCCAAACTGAGCTATCTGCTCAATATAAATAGAACGGCTAAAACTTATAGGATTTAGTGCTCCTCACGAATGGACCACAGGCAACCCAAGCTGTTGCTTGGTCCTGTTGAACTCAGTATTTGGTATTCACATTATACGACAGTACTACCGTGATTAGGCTAATTAGCGATTGACTCCTACAATGCAAATTATGATTTTGAGAACAGCAAAGGAGAGTAGTTGGAAGGAGAGCGAAGCTTACATGGTAATCATCCAGATAATCATGTGGGTCATGCTGCAAAAGGAAAATAATCAGATCAGATCCCAAACGAAAATAGCCGCAACTTCCAAGTAAATGGTTCAAATCTCAAAGCATCTCTGCTCCTTCCAATATTAAACAAATAGTAGGAACATTATACAGGCACAGCTTTCATGCAGTACATGGAGATATGCGTTAGTCTTCTATTTTTTCCTTCTAATTGATTGTCCTTGGTCGTCAGGGTTCCACTTTTGGATCGGACAAACGGATATCTTTCCTTATCCCCAGAACTTTAGAATATATTCAGGTTTTATTTTCTCATCAGATGCTTGCCCCCAGAAATTAGGGCATCCCATGTTGAGCAACATTCAGTGCCCATAACCTTTTCCGAGAGGAGAAAAAAACCTTTCCTAAGGCAAACATAGAAATAACTTGTTCCATATTACAAGGTTGAGACAACATTCGATGAATGGTATCCTCCATGAAAAAAAAGAAATCTACCTAATTTATTCAAGGATGGGAATTTAAGCTTTCTTTTCTATCGATCAGACAGACCTGACTTACACAGGATCTGAATGAACATCAAAATATGCCTCCTCTTCTATTTGCCCAAAGAGCTTCACATCTTTGGATTTCAGAAGCCTATATAATCTAAAGCACTTAATTTACAGAGATGAGATTTTTGAGACTGCAAGAGAAGGGTCTCGGTGGCTCTAATGCCATGAAGAAATTGAGAAATCATTCACAACATATCTAAAAATTTAAACTGTTACATGAAGTAGTTTAACATTTACTGTTCCTAACATCATTAATCTGTTCATAAATAGACTTTCAGTTTCTGAAGCATTCAAAATTAATTGAGGCTCAATTGCACATTAGATCAGGAAAACAGAGATTAACACCGACTAGTTAACAGATGCACAATTCGAATATGTTGCTAAAGGGGTAACTCACCCTTGTCCACATGAACCCATCCTTCAATATTTTTTTTTTGGTAAAAAATCCTCCAATAGTTGCAGACCATAAAAGTAAACTTCATTGCTTAAAGTACAAGAAACCACGGGAAGATGTATAGATTGGCATTTCTCAAGCTTAATGATCTTTTACCAAAATATTAAAGCGAATGAGACAATTAACATGACTAATACCCGTCTAGAGTGCCTCCCACGTCTATCCCTTCCTTTCTTCTTCTTTTCACCTTCCTGCAAGTAATGATCGATATTAGAAACATGCGGCCTAAACTTTAGTAAAGTTTTCCTCTCAGATGATAAAGCCTAGTACAGATGCCACCTCTTCTTCCCGAGCTCTCCTCACTTTCTCAGCTTCCTCAAAGGCATCCTTCTCAGCCTGGAATAGAGAAATAAGTCAATTTATAGAGCTACACAACGCCAGAGTCAAGAAAGATCAACAGCTCACCTCTCTGTTCCTTTCAAAATGATCTTCTACAACTTGCTTTGCATACTGTGGGTCATCGCAGACCAATATATTATCATAAACAGAACCAGCCTTCACCTGCAAGGAAATGGATTGGTCAATCTCTGATGATGTCCAATAAAGGTTGATTTAATAGGTGACTTCACATTCAATTATTCCAAATCCAAGATCTTGGAACTTGATCTTGGACATAACATAGATTCAGAAAGCACAGATACATTGTCTGTTAAATGAAAGAAGATACATGCAGCAACCTGGACAGCAGCTCTACAGCAAATTCACCAACACATATATACAGCCAAATTTTCTCCTACCCTCAACAGCAAACTCGATTTGCAGAATTATTGCAAAGGTTAATTGTTGGACTCAATTATATGCTATGAGATGATAAAGAGCACAACAAAACCAGTCAAGGTAAGTAGCCATGTTTACCTGCCAAACTTCTATTCCCACATACTTGATTGGCCTCATTACATAAAGGTCGGGATCATCTTCAAACTCTGCAGCAGTAAACAACAGAGAATCACGATACATAGAACCAAAAATATATGTTATGGCTTAATTGTGTCCTCTATTATAGAAGATAAAGCTACATGGACTAGAAATATCCATGATTTTGACCGTTCGTATAATAATAGCTGAGATGTTGACCCAAAACACGAGATACTCAAAACCGAGGTTTTAAATTGCGGTCTTGGTCGTGCTGCGATAGTAGTGGATGCAGGCATAGCGGCCGCCAAATATCGGATCAGTAAACAACAGAGGATCACGATATATAGAACCAAAAATAAATGTCATGGCTCAATTGTGTCCTCTATTATAGAAGATAAGGCTACATGGACTAGAAATATCCATGTATTTGGCCGTTCATATAATAATAGCTTAGAAGTTGACCCAAACAGAAGATACTCAAAACTAAGGTTTTAAATTTCGCTCGCAGTCGTGCTGCGATAGTTGTAGATGCAGGCATAGCGGCCGCCAAATATCGAATTGCGGTCATAGAGAGCGTGAATTTTCATAATGTCAGCACAATTATCATAGAAGCAAAAATTAACTTTTGTAGCTTTAATATAACTATATTTGTGATTTATAGGAGCATTAGAGTGTTCTTCAAAGCATATAAGAGTGCAAAAAAGTTGAATTATATGGATTTGAAACTTTATATGTCAAATATTAATTAGGCTAGACAAATCTTTGAGCATGTTCAACTTTTTTACATAGTAATTGAACTGATTTGCTTTAATTTGAGACAATCAATGCTTTTTTTTCTCGAATTTCAACTTCAAATGAGATGGGTTGATGACTTGACCCTTTGGGTTTTTGATTATTCGTAAAATAAGTTCAAATCGAAGGAAAGAACTTCTTCTACATTTTAAGTTGACTGAGAGAAGTAGAGTGGAAAAGGAAGTGTTAAAATTAGATGGACACAAGGCTTGAAAGTTTCCTCTCTCTCTCTCTCTCTCTCTCTCTCTCTTCTTGTCTTCCTCCTCTCTTTTCTTCTTCATAATTTTCTCTTTCCTTTTTCGTTCGAATTAGTAGGGTGCGCTACAGCTGCAATAGTGCCCGCGACAAACGCTATTGCCGCGATAGGGGTGGGATTTAGAACTATGCTCAGCACATAGTTCTCAAATTAGGATCCATAAATGAGACATACATATTATAGAAAGGTAGAAAGAATATCCACAATATGACTAGCAGGATCCAATGTTTATGTGGCTGTTTATGATTATCTAATACTTGCTGACATTCTCCTGTCTCTTCTAGATTTAGATTTTCAGAGACAAATGGACCAAGCCGGCAATAATTTATAGCCAAAAAAGGAAGATACCTGGGTTATCTATCCAAGGAGTCTTCCATTTACCCTTGTAGTTAGGATTTTTGACTTTCTGCAGTTGAGAAATAAGTATTATAAGTTTGAAAAAAGCAGAAAGGGACTAAATCTCCAATTATAAACTTAAGCACCTTTCTTTTCCATGGTCCTTTATATGCAGGATTTGGGATTTTAGGTGGCCTCCATATGCCATCATCTTCCTCATCCCAGTCAACGGGCTACAGTAACATAAAGTGGCTCCAGAAATCAGCATTTCAAAAAGAAGGAATAACTCTACATATTACATCTAGAAGAAATGTACAGTCATTCCAACATAAATGCATTTTATGCCAGTGGAGAAGTACTGGAAAAGGAATAGAAAAACAAAGAATAAACATTAGGATGTCATATTCAATCTAGAATCTGTACAAGCAAGCTGCATTAGTTTATGATGTGAAGTAGACATGACAAAACGATTTTGCTGAGCAACTACCTTTTTAACTTTTGGATCTGGAATCTCCTTAGGAATTGAATCGTATCCCTGCAATATTCAAACATATGAGGAAAATGTCCAATCTAATGATCTCAACAGGTACTCCAACTGATTTAGAGCAGAATTTCTACCTCTGGTTTGACACCATTAGGGTCATCGATGTATTCCCTTTCATCCCAGTCTGCCGGCTGTATGGATGGATGAGTTATGAATGTTATCATGGGTAGCAATGCAGGAACATAATAAATAATTAAAGACCAAGTCAACCATATAAAGCATGACATATATCATGACATCATCAACATTGCTTGTTGATTGGCATGCGCGATAATAAGAAGAACTGGTCCTAAAATTATAAATCAGTTACCAGCACAAATTGATGTTCAGCGTCAAACAAAAGGGTGTTTTAAACAAATCTCTAGCCGCGTCTACAGCAGCGATAATACCTTTTTCGCTTTCACATCCTTAATTTTCGGCGGGGGAAGGATATCCCAATCTGTATACAAACTTCCTGTTTCTCTCTCGCGATTATCAACCAATAGACTGTATGAAGCATCTGGCCTAAGTATAAATGTGTAGAAATGAGTCAACTTGTCAGTCTCACATTGCAGGTCCTTTTTGATTGGATAAGTCTGCCCTTGGTAGGAAAGTATTAGATGAATCTTCTTCGTCTGTGTGCCACATATATCTGGCCCAAACATAAAACTGCAAGGAGAATGTCGATCTTAATACATGCAGCTTAGGAATAGTTAACTACTAATGAATTACAAATTCAGATTAGGTATATTTAGAGCAGATAAATGACAGGGTGAAACAAACTTTTAGAATAAAAAAACAAAAGAAATTTCTGTACTTCAAATGATTAGTGATAACCCACTCGATAGATAGTGGGTCTAAGAGAACTACATCAAGAGTGTAACTAGGAACAACATTTATTCCAGAAAAGCATACAAGAGCAGTAAAGCCTATGGGAGAAAATAACTGGGCAATTATAAACCATTTCAATTGCACAGCTTCTGTCTAGCATTTAGTTTCAGTTTTCATCTCACCCTAGAATTACAAGGAAAAGCTACAAGATTATATAAACATAAAAGACTTCTGTTGTTTGAGTTTCTTCACTTTAGAAGAAATTTTACCTCAAGGAAGTTAATAATAGAGAGTTTTATGTTTCTTCTGGAAGAGTAGCAACTATTCGTTACTGCTATAATGCCACACAAGAGCTCAGCTTTAGGGCAAGTGAAGGACTGTTTTCCAAAAGATCACCACAAAGGCACCGAACGTTCATTCCTTTAAGAGGAGTATGAGTCCTAATTGTAGCTTTTCAACCAAACATGGATCCTTTTGGTTCAATTAATTCTAGTTCAAGCAGGGTGAGAGAAATCAAGTCTGATCAAATCTGTTTAATTTGAAGATTGAAAATGAATTTTATTAGTCAACAAACAAGTACTTTATTAAACAGATTGCAGCGACTCATCCAAGAAATAGACTCTTTGACCATTGAGACAAATGCTTATAGTCAAAGTCAGAAAGTGGGACACTTAAAGGCAATCAAATGAATTTGTGCTCCTTCAACACCCTTCCTCAAGGACATTGATAAATAGACGTAACAGAAAGTGGAACTACGAGGATAATTAACTACGAACCTATATGGAGTATCGCCACCAAATTTCTTCTGATTGACATAACCAGATAGAAGCTTGATGTAACCACCCCCGCATTCAATGTCCTGTTCAAGCCTAATTGAATATTGGACGACTAGAGTCCGATCTTTGTTGCTGAATTCGGGTATCTTTGCCGATATTGCATAATGCTTTGCATCATTATAAGTCTGGATACCTACCAGCAGAACCAGATCGTCAAAAGGACGATATCATGAGAAAGATTTAACTGAGAGTTACAGCAAAAGGAGTTCAATGAAGCGTAGCAATGGGAAAAATGGTAATTCCGGAAGGAAGAGCTGTTTCAAGTATAATTTAATTCAAGCCCTTGACAAGACAGTCTGCATGATCTACACTACATTAATGGGTTCCAGTGAAAAGTATGGATCAACAAATTTAGTAAAAGGAGATGTAGAAAGATCTGTTGAGGTTGTGGGCGTGGATGGGACTATCTAGATGCAGATTCAAAAGGATGCATACTAGTTAATGGCATGCATTGCACGAATACAGACTAGCAGTTAACATGAACTGCACGCATGGATTGCACACAGTAACTTGCAATCATCCCTCATGGGCATGTAAGCATGTGCTCTCTATGACTTTTACATTCCATCGAACATAACAATCATGTTTTTAGTAATTTTTTTCACAGCCGCAGGGTGTGGGTAGGGGGTTGGGAACTCTAACAAAAACATAAGCTTGTACCCTTTACTGACAGGAAGAAAGATGGAAAGAACATCTCACAGACATCGAAACAAGTTAGTAAGCAAAACACATCTAGTTATCCAGATCCTACTGAATTATATGCATCTATTTCCTTTTTGTCTGGTGAACTAAAGCTAAATAATTCTGTAGAAGATAGATTAATACTTTACCTTTATCATCAGGATCTCCGGACCATTTCCCAGCTGTATACTTAAACGTACCTGCCTTCCCTTCAGCCCGCTTCCAGTCAGACAACACCCAGCGATCTTTCCACCCATCTTTCAAAAAGGATCAAATGAAAATGTCAACAACAACCTTAAAATAAAGAAGAGCACATGAAGACACTTGGACACAAACTGGCACCACCCCCAAAGCTTCTGCTTGATCGTAAATACTAAGGAAGAGACTTGAATCCCAAAATTGCAACAGATGCGACCAGAGAGTCACCATCACGACTAGACCAACATGATATTTCAGCACTAAAACACCAAAACAGTAAGTGCCCTCGCAACCACATACACTTTCTATTCGCTTTTAAACTTGACACAAAAAGCTAAAGGACCTCAAGTTTTTTTCTATACGAGATGAGAGCATGAATTCTGTGAGGATTAATCCATGATCTCTCCCGGTGTCTCCTCGCGATGATCGACATCTTATCTCGAACAACCATTTACTCTTCGGTGAGAATCAACACTTTCCGAATGAAATATTTTCTTTCCTGTCCAACGGAATTCTACCAAGAAGGCCATTAGTCGGGATTCTAACTTTTGCGCGAATACCAAAGGAACTCGAATTCACTCCACCAAGTTAAGGTCGATCCTCCGACACATCTCCCGACAATAGACAACAATCGATCCCTCATACGACACTGTTTCCTCGCTACTCCAAGCACACTCGCCCAACATTAGTTAACCAAACCGACCGACCAAAACCATGGGCTGAAATCAAGCAGAGAACAAAACGAAAGCCGTGCGTCGGACACGATCGCTGCGCGATGGCTTGGATTCGGTGCGAGCGATTCGACAGAGCTTACCTTCGAAACGCTCTTCGAAGAAGATCTCCGCGAGAGCGAAGCCGGAGAGGGAGAGCAGCAGCAGAAGAAGAAGTTGCGACTCCATGAGCGCCTCGAACGAGCTTCTCTTCTCCGAGCAAAGCGCGCTCGCTCCTTTTTATACTCTCATCATCTTCTTCTTCTTCTTCGTTCACTGTGCAGGAATCTCAGCTCGTTCAGACAGTTGAGAGTGGCCTTTGGGTTGCGCCTTCGACGGGTCGCGACGACTTTGACTTTGACGACGACCTTGACTGGAGAGCCCCCGGAAAGGTCATTGCCCCGAGTTTTGTGCCGAATTACGCTTGTGCCACCTTGGAGAATCACAGCGAGCTGGATTGGGCTCGATATTGGGCCGGGCCGATGCTTCTCGAAGTAGCGGCGGCCCATCTTCTCTGCTCGAGTCCGGCCCACCCGACCGGATTTCGGGCGGTTGCATTCGGGAGAATTCGGATCTTGGAGGAGCATGGATTTCTAGTCTCGATTCCACGGCGTGCCATGCCGTATAATTTAATAATACATGGTCGACGTTTATCTTTTTCCCCGATTTTTTCGAGAAGCATTATTAGCAAAATTACGACATGCCTTGTGTTGTGCCTTATGATATTATCACGTGTCGTAACACGACATCATTAAATTTAAAATAGACTAAAAAATGTCCGAAGAACACCAATAAGATCTTGCTAATAAATCCTTTTGGAACACTTGTTAAACCTGTTTAATAAGGGATGACTCGATTTCAAAAGTATTCATTGTGCATGTTACAAGAATGCCTAGCGAATTGAAAATTTTAATATTTACCTTTTAGTTGGTTAACAAGTGTTGCAATAGCACTTTTTTTTGAATTTTTTTTTCATAAATCCGAATTGCGATGCAAATGCTGCATTAAATAAATCATTGCAAAGTTCCCTAAAATGCCATAGTAGGCCGCCAAGTAACCTTAACCATGGATTCACTTACTAGCTCCTGATTTCTCTCTAACCCCGAGAATATGAGCGAGCAATCGGGTCAACTCAACCCGAGAACCAAACTAAACGGGCCTTTCCATATCTATTCCAAGCGAGATTACATGGGAAACACGATAGGTTTTTGTTTGATTCTAAGAAATCCAAATATGCTGGAAATGAGTTTTGCACATAGAGCCTAGGAAGGCCACCTACGCTTTGGGCTTGTTTATTTAAAACGTTAATTATATTCTATTTATTTTGTGGAAAATAAATGATTTAAAAAATATTTTTCTAGTAATAGTCGATAAATTTTCATATAAACATTTTCCGAAATGACTATGAAACCGTTCGATGTGATTCCAACCGGTTCGATTCCGGTTGGACCGACAGGATTCCGGCTGGATCCCCCCCTGCTCGAGTGCGCGAACAAAACCCTGAAAACTGGCCCGTAGCTAAAGAGAAGGACGGTCTCGGCGTCGCCATACTCGTCCCCGTCCCGAGGAAGTCCTCCGATTTTCTCTCTCTCCTAGGGTTTGTCTTCCCCCCTCTCCGTCCTCCGCCCTCCGCCCTCCGCCGCCGAGCTCGAAGCCGCCATGCCTCGGTACGTCGGACTTGCCTGATTCCTCGGCATCCTCTTCTTGTTTCCGATGTCGCAATTTGGCTGACTTCTGCTGACACGAATCACCCGTCGTTCGCTCGCAGGTACTACTGTGACTACTGCGACACTTACTTGACGCACGACTCGGTAAGCCTTCCTTCTTCCCTCGGCTCTTGCTCTCTTCGCCTTCTCCGTCTTCGTCGATCGGTGTTGGTGAATGGTTTAGGCTCTGTAGAGTCGATGATCGATGGATCGGGTTTTGGTTTCTCTTTTTTCGCAAGTCGGCATTTTAGTTTTCTATGCTGTTGGCCGTGTGCTGCGTTTTCGATGTTGCAATCTTCAAGTCGTCCATGAGTTTTGGAATTGACGAGTACCTTGGGGGTCGGGAAGAAAGAACGGGCTTCCAAATGATATGCGAAAAACGCTGCTTGCTTCTTGAAGTTGCTCAGGGACTGGTTATTAGCTCTGAGCAGTTGCTACCTTGAGATTGAGTTCATTTTGCCTTTTGCCCTTTTCTTCATGAGATTGAGCTCATTTTGCTTATGAAATTTCATTTCATGTATCTTTTTGAAACTCGATGAACTATGATTATCATTCCCATGCACTGACATTTTGACCTTTAGAACTTCCAACCCCTAAGCTTTTTAATCACTATTAATTGTTTTGGATACCTCAGCCATCAGTCAGAAAGCAGCACAATGCAGGATACAAGCATAAGGTACTTTTTCTCATCTGCATCTGTTTTGCTATCCCTTCTTTGTTTGTTTGTTTGATTAGTTATAGTGGGCTCCCAAGTTTATTGAACTTGTATCTGTAACTGGTTTTAGGCGAATGTGCGTATTTACTATCAGCAATTTGAGGAGCAGCAAACTCAAAGTTTAATTGACCAAAGGATTAAGGAACACTTGGGGCAAGCAGCAGCTTTTCAACAAGTCGGCGCTGCTTACAATCAGCATCTTATGGCTCAGAGGCCTCGATTACCTATACTACCAACGCCTATAATGCCCATGGGAGCGAATATGCAGATGCCTATGAATTCTCCTTTAGCCCCTGGAATCAGGCCACCTGTTTTGCCTAGGCCACCCCCTGGTGCTCCAGGTAACATGTTGACCATTGCACTGGCTCTTACGTGAATTTTCGTACATATACTGAAAATGTGGCTACGCGGAGTTTTCCTTTATCGATTGACTGGTGGACACAATTTTTTCATTTCATTGTCTGGGCTTTGTTAAGGTATAGAATTATTTTTGGTGGGAAATTTTGGCAAGAGATTGTTATAGAATTTTAGCTAAAGCATATGTTAGTGCTCTCAACCTATTGCGACCAATTAGGGTTTATCTTGATACATTTAGAGCGGAGATGAGCATATGTCAAAAGTGATACTACATCCCTGAGTTGCTTTTCTAGAGAAAAAATCAAAGGAACCTTTACTTTCCAAATAGATTCCCAAGGAAAAAGCGTGTTTTGTTGCACTTCCAGTTTCATAGAGACAAGATTAATGTAGTTGGATTTGATAGAAAAATCTCTAAAAGCACAAAAATTCCACCGTTCATTACTTTCCTTTCACACGTCAAGCGTTATCTGATACAACAGCTCAGAAAAACAAGAGAAAGCTTTGAGCGCCTAATCTTTAGCCCTAATAAAAAAGGTCTGTCGTCCACACCACTTCTCCATTGTCAGCCTCCACCACCTGAACTCTCGTGGTCCTTGCTAATGCAAAGAAACAGGAAATTATCGTTTAAGGCAGTGTCTCTGCACCATCCATCATCCTGCAACAAAGTTTAGATACCATTTCCCACTATAATATTAATTTTTGCTTCTGAGATTGTCCCATTCCTACCTTATTTTCTTCCAAAGCCCTATCCCGTGTGCTTTAGATTAGACATAGCTAACACCGTGCATCTTCAAACCAAATTTTGCAATTAGGACCCTCCTTTTCAAACTGTCTTTCTCCACGTCAAATATCCACTGCCATTTAGAAGCAAAGCTTTGTTGAAAGAACGGGTACGTCCTTGGTGTGTGTACATTTCATTTTCTCAATTTTGTGGATAGTAGAATAATGTCTATCTTTTAGAGGTGCTTCATTGGAACATGCATTGGCTGATGATGTATGAAATGGTCAGTATCCATTTTCAATCTCATGAAGTGTCTTTCACGAAATTATTAGGGTGCGCATGAATACCATTCTGTGCCCGGGAACTATTTCTGAACAGAAATGATTTTTTTTTATTCTGTGCCCGGAAACAATTTCTGAGTATTTGAAGGCGTTTGATAAACTGACCAGAATTTCTATTCCTAGAGTAGAAAAGAAAAGAAATGCGTTTGGTAACTACACAAAATTTCTGTTCCCAAATAATATTTTAATAATATTTTGAATTGTTTAATTTTTTTTTTCTTTCTACCCATTTTCTTCTTTGGCCATGGCCGGTCGCCGGCGGCCGGCCCAGCCCAGGGAAGAACAACACAAAAATAAGAAAAGAAAAAAAAGAAAAAGAAGAAAAAAAACTGATTCTCAAAATTGTGCCGAGAAACAAGAAGCAACTTTTTTTTACTTCTTGTTTCTCTTCCAAAACTGTTTCTCGGCACAAATTTTTGCAAAAATGTGCCCGGGAACAAAAAGTTTACCAAAAGCATTTCTGTTCCCAAACTATTTCTGGGAACAAAAGAACAGAAATTTTCACTGTTTGGCACGTTGCCAAACGGGCCCTTAGTATCACTTCTTAGAATGCCGTATCTTCTCTAGAAATATTCCAGATGAAACATATACAGTTTTGGAGACTGAAACTCGTCTTTTGTTCCTCTTTTGTTTACGGAGATTAAGTCAAACTGTTGATTCTTCAGTATTTTTATCTGCACATATGAAAAATAAATTCAGTAAAAGGTCCTTTAAAGTGAGATGGATAGGACATTGACAGTGTTGATGCCTGCTAGGAGCTGGGTAAATGTACTTCTGTGGAGGCTTTTACGTTGAAAAGGTAAAGTTGGGCCTACAAGACATGGTAGGATAAGAAATGGAGTAACGTAGAAGGGTATATAATGTCGACCTTTTGTGTTGCTTAGTTGTTTTTGTTTTACTTAAACATTCAAATGAATACACATAATTCTTAAGAGGCAAGAAGGACAACTGATTAACAGACAAGTCAATTCACTCTGAGTTGTTTCTAATGGTGACAATTGTCAAATCAAATCATAATCATTACGTGGCAAAAGACATAATATTGTACTTCATTAGTCCTCTTTATCTTTTTTTTAAACCAACGTGACTCATCTTAGTGGATTAAAATACATTGTGTTCTGGGTACTCACTAGTCCTTATTCTAAGCACAAGCTCCTCTTATGTGTGTTTGAGTTATAGTTTGCTTTTCTCTTTTTACTTTTCCATGCAACACCATTTTATTATATTGCTTTGACTCGTTGCATTGGATGTGGGAGATCTTTTGACAAGCGAGTAGTTGCTCCATATATGTTCTCATCAATAGTTTGATATCATTTCTTTAAGCTTGTATTATCTATATCTACTCATTGAGAGAGCCTGAGAGCCTGCACCCTTCTAGCAATATGTCTGTTTTTCGCCCACGTATAAAATGGCTATCAAAGGAGAAACATGGATCTTATTTTTTTTTTTTTTTCTTCTTTTGCCAGGCTATAATCCTCCTTCAACGATGCCATCAATGGTGCCACCCCCTGGTGCTCCCTCTATCCTTCAAATGAATGGCATGCCAAGGCCTCCTACATTCAATGCCCCTCCGACATTTCCTGGGAGTGGACCAACTCCAACCTCTTCTGGTGGCGCCCCCTCAATGGTACCACTTCCTGCCTATCAAACAAATCCTGCAGGACCAAATAGTGGAGGCTATGACAGTTTTAATGCCAACTCTAAAGCTCCTGATGCTAGTCATTAGTTTTGCTTGGTAGGTACGTTTGCTTCTTAAATTGAATTTCTTATGTTGGCCATAAAACTGTAAATAACTTACCATTTCTGGATGTATTACCTGTTATAATTTTCAGTAAAGTCATATATAGGTGGTTCTTCCTGGATGAAATGAAGTTTTTTCGATGTGGGACAAATGCGGGCTTTGGCTAGTTAAAAGTAGATGATTTTAATAAGATATAACATGAGGGCTCATGTGCTAAAAGTTAAGTCTAGACCTTTAAGTAATAAGTAGGTAGTTGAGTTTTAATCTACAAGAGATAATTTACAATGTGTATCGAATATTTCGATTGCTTTGTCAAACGTGGCCTTTGAGATTCTTGTGTCATTTATATCTTTCATCAAACTTATGATCTTATCTCATGGCCGACTTAGAAATTTGCCACATGCTTTAAAATAATTAGTTTTTGATCCTTTTTTGCATTTCCTTGTGTATGGGTGCCTTTTGTGATTTTATTTTTCATTTGACATGGTATTTACCAGTATATGTTCTTGAAACAGGCAGCTAGTTAAAAGCAGAATTTGTGTTCAGGGAGCAACCAATGGATGCCTTTTGGACTGTTGGGGGTTGCTTCTAAGATGTCAAAGTAATAAGTTCTGTACAATGCTATCACTTTGTAGACAATGAGTATCATCTAAACCATCTTCTTCTGATTCAGAACTCGTTTCTGGATCACAGTTCGGCTGTTGAGACTGTTTATATAGTCTGGGAAGCCCTCAACTTAGGAAAACACCCTTTCTTCGACTCATGATCATGCCCGTCTTCACACCCCAATTGCCATGTCTGAGTTTCTCTATGTATATGTGAAGCATTTTGATGGAGCAGATTATGCTTGTGTTGTTGAGATCATATTTTCTTGGTCAACCCTAGTTGATCATATATGGGAAAATAACAGATATAGTCCCTAAACAAGTTTGATCGTGGAAGTTGTCAAGGAGATGAGGGACTTAAAGAGCAGCATCAGTGTAATTCTCTCGAGTTACTTGATTGTTTTTAAAATGGTCGTATATATACATAATCTTTTCGCTCGTGGTTGGAACTTTTTCGTTTCTTCATATCAGAGACGAGGTGAAGATAGATATTGACGAGTATGTTGGTAGGAGTGGTAAAAGAGACAAGGGACTGCAAGATGAGAATCAAAGCAACCAGTGATGGTTGGAACATTTTCGTTTTCTTCAGATTAGAGACGGAAGTGATTGCTCTAGATTCTGATCTTGTTGTTCCTTGTTTCCTTTACCACTTCCCCCACCATACTTTTCTATATCTATCTTAATTTTGTCTCTATTCCGAAGAAATGAAAAAGTTCCCACCATCAAAAGTGAAAAGATTATGCACGTACCACTATCTTCAAAAACAATCAAGTACCTCTAGTGGAATTGGAGGAGGGTTGCTCTGTATCCGATGTTGCTCTGATTCTGGCACATTGTGGTTAGACGGTCAATTACAACTTAGAAACTATTTGGGAATCTGTGTTATTTGGTGGGAGTCCCACTGGTTTTTGTAATATGATTGGCTTTGTCCGTGAGACTAAGTTTTAGGTTTTCTTCCCTCGTATCTTTTCTTGGAAGACCAAAAGAGACTATCCATTATTCTTGTCTTAGGTTTTGGAGGTCATTTGGTTATTCCAGTAACCTTTGTGCAGTTACTGACAACTGTCAGATTTTCTCATGTTATCTTTATACCCTCAGTATGTTCCAAGCGGGAGTTTGATCGTGAGTGTTCGATTTTTTATCATCGGGCAAACAGGTTCGCCATCATCTTTGTTTGTCTTCTGAGGCTTTATAAAATATAAACGTGCTGAGCGTCTGGATAAGTATGACAACTGACAAAAACGAAGACCTGGACAAAATCACAAAAAGAAAAATATAATCTTCTACGATTTTTTTTATTTTGATTTTTTATGGGCTTTTTCTAGATTTTGATTGATCGGACGGGTCTTCCTTATTCTAATTTTATTTGTGTTAAAGTAGTGGATTCATTTCAGATCGGAGTCCATACATACCGAAGTGTAATGACTACAGCAACCACATACCCGGACGTCTATCTTCTGCATTGCTCCTTCCTTTCTGCCTCTGTAGATGCTGTGCTCATCTTCATTCTTACTCGCTCGCCGCCACTCACGCACCCTCCTTTGGTGTTAGCGGCTCTCACTCTCCCTCTCTCTCTATCGTTCAAACGGTTGTCTTTCACAAACCAATCAGGTCCAACGCCTGATCAAAACATTATTCAAACCCCTTTGAGGAGTGAATAACCAAGAGCTACAATTCCAAAGTCAAAACGTCAGCCTGTTTGGAGATTCTTTAGCAAAGCGTTTTGACATGAAGAAGTTGCGTCTAGAATGCAATCCCGCATTCACCTGTAACTTAATCAACCGGCACTAGTCCACTCGAGCGCAACATTTCCATCTGAACAAATGATTAAGGCAGATCTCTCCTGAGTTTTCTGCAAGCTGGCCTGCAATTCAAACTTGCTTAGACTTCGGAGAGCCCGAAATGGCATTAACATCAAGAAAGAAGCTTCAAATGAAGTAATCCAAGAGATTGCATTTATTGTCAAGTGTAGGAAGGTAAATTCTGATGCGTTTCTCTATCAAATCGGAGACAGTGATTATTAGTTCAGCTGTTATAAATTGAACCATTGATAATTTTGGTCTCCCGAAAAGTATCAAAGTACTTTAGTATCAAAGCACTTCACATGTCGGATACACAGCGTGACAGAGGCACTTGGAAAAGCATGCCAACCAAAGGAGAGTTCATCGTATTTCAAACACACAAAGATTGATACCAAGCGGATATTCAAATTGATAAACCTCTCGTGCAATCGATACATAAAAAGCTTTAACCTGGTCCCCATGTTTCTATGACATTGGAGTTGCAATTTACCTATCCAGGAAATGAAAAGTCGTTAAAATTGCCATGATGAATATATTCCAATTGATGGAGCATCGTCTAGTAGTAAAAGGAAAACCCCATTGATTCCATAACAACAACAATAAGCTTAGATTCTTACTTTATCCAAATAAGATGATGGCAAGAAAGGTTCACAGGTACAATATCATATGATTCAGCAAAAGCCATATTTTCCTCATAACATAATAATTAATAACCAAATCCAGGTCAACCAAGACAACCTGTAGACACTGGCAAGAAAATAAATCTTAAATCACTGGAAGTGCATGTCTCTCGCTAAAAACTCTACTGGCTATGAAACAAAGCCATCTTCTCACAGGTCTTGCACGCTCAAACCTGCACGAACGAACGAACGAAAGAAAAGAAATCAGCTGCGATGCACTTTTGTTTAACAAACATGGAAACTAGGACCGTGTTCAAAAATGAGTTTTTCTAACATCTGATGTGAACAAATTTTTATGTTGCTGCGGCAGCTAACCTGGAGGCAGAGATTGCTTCAACTTGTCGGCCTTCTCGGAATCGAAGACGCAAAGAGTGTAGAGGTACTTGGAGCAGCGGACCTTGAACTTCACCACATCCTTGCTCCTCTTGATCTTCACGGAGCGTGCATCCTTCCTCCTAGCAGTGAGGAGGAAATCCTTGATCTCGTGGATTTGCTTCGGCTGTGCACCACAACAAGGAGTTCCAATCAACACGAAAGCCCTCTCAGTATATTAGTGACAGATTACAGTCAGTAAGAATCGAATGCATGTAAGACCCAACAAGGCAACAAGCATATGTCAGATGCAGAGTACCCACACAACACCTTTCTAAAGCTCCACCAATTATCATCTAAGATCCAGCTTATAGAGTAGATTTAACACTATGGGCTAAAAGTCAATGCCTCAGGCCATTGACGTTCAACTCAGAATGAACCCACTAAGCAGCATGATTCTGGGGGAACCAAACAACTGAACCTGGATTCATGTTTCACATCTACGGCCGTTTGAAATAGAGCTCTTTGCAAATAAACACTTTAGCGAATCGACTCTCGCATCCGCAGCGTTCAGTCGACCCATATCTAGCGCCACTCAATTCTTGCACATTGTAAAGACCGGTTTTTTCTAGGTTGTAGAAGCTCGAGCTCCTTCCTGGATACAATCTCGCGAGTTCCAACAAGGAACCGCGCCTCATGGGAGGAAGAGCGGAGCATCAAGGAATAAAGTTCTTGATTACCACCACAATCACGATCACCATCCATATACACGAAGACAGTCCGAGACAATCCCCGCTACCGAAAAATTCCACATCTATATCCTAATTTAACATGTCAAGAATATCGCATAGCCCACTCTCAACAGCAGTTCCCTTCAATCAAGAAAAAAGCTCCATCCACCATGCAAAATCTGAGTAACTACGAACAACTCCCGTGGCTTAAAAGGCATAATTTCGACTACCCTCCATCCCTAACATTCGAAGCTCCAATCTCAAACCATCTACTTCTCAAGCTTCACAACTCTGCTCAAACGGATTCCAAGATCTGAAGCTGCTAGCCTAACATTTCGAAGCAAGAACTGAACAAATCAGTCAACGCCTCTTCCCAACACATCCGCAGAGCAAACGCTTAAACAAATCCTCGTTCGGAGAACAAGCATCATCGAATGACGGAGGAACAAAAGGAGAGAGAATCGAAGAAGTACCATGTCTGAGAATGAGCAGCTCCCGGAGAGAAGTCGGCGGCACACTGGAAGCCTTGGCCTTGTGAGATTTCGCTTTTATAGTCAACAAGAACAAAAACCCTAGAAGAAATCCCAGAATTAGGTTTTGAAGTTGTTGGGCTCGAGACGACGGTCGCGAGCTTCCTGGGCCAGGCCCATCAACTCGACCTTTTAGGCCCAAATACTTTTGATGCTCGAAAACCGGTTCAACAGATGTCGCTAAACCGGTTCAACTGGTTCATTTCTCACTTTCCCGCTGATTTTAGATCTCTTTACAATAATGGTTTCCCACTAGTTATCTCAAAGCCTTCGTGTACACCGCACGATCGATAGGATCTGACCAATTGATAAAAACAAAAGGGCTTTGTAGTATTGAAGATTCTAAGCCGGTATCCCATGACATTTCTAACCAAAACTAATTTACGTCTCGCAAACAAAACCCAAACTATTGTCCTTGGAAACCAAACCGACACCCTTGAACTAAATCTATACTCCGTTAAATTGCATAACTATCAACGCATGGGAATAATACCATTACAATCCGAAACCAATACCCTATGACACATTTTAACCTGAAACAATTTTCATCTCACAAACAAACCAAAATCGGTACCTTTTCCCAAATCTAACATCCGTTAGCATTTTTGTCCAGTAGCATGTTAAAATACATACATGTCAACACACGTGGCAAATGATTGTAAGATAAATTTAACGAGATGAATGGCAGATTCGATGTGAAAAATTCACTTGTGTTGATAGGTATGCATTTTAACGAAGCATATATTTTGGGTCAAGGGTATTGGCTTTGAATTTCTTGTGAGACGAAAATTAATTTGATAATATAAATGTGTCGTAAGGAACCTGTTTGGAATTTTTAATGGTATTAACTAAAAGTATTAGTATCACGAAAAACTCCAAAATTGTATACTTGTGATAAATTTACCCCAAACTAAGTTTTTGTCTACAAAAAACCCCAAACTGGTATACTTGTAACAAATTTATCCTCCATTAGTTTTTTTAGATTTTACTATCAAATTGTTGAATTGGATCACGTGGCAATTGGCGGGTGTACTAGTTTGAGATTTTACTCTCCATTTGGTTTTTCTTGGTATTAATATAATTTAACAGAAACTAACGAAGGTTGAGTGTTCGAATCCCTGGTGCCGCAGGGTGACTTAACCGGTGCACGTGTGTGGTGGTTAGCACGTGTCACCCCCAGGGTTTACCTCCCGGCTGTCGGCCGTGTGGGGGTTCCCTAGGTCATAAAAAAAAAAAAAAAACAGAAACTAACGAAGGGTAAATTTGTCATAAATATACTAGTTTGGGGTTTTATCCTCTGTTTCCAGTTTGTGATTTTTCGTGATATTAATCCAATTCAACGGAAACTAACGGATGGTAAATTTGACACAAGTGTACCGATTTTGGGTTTTTGTTGGTCAAAAAATTAGTTCATGATAAATTTATTACATGTATACTATTTTGAAAATTTCCATGATATTAATCCTAACTAAAATAAAAGAAAAGGCTTTTTTTTTTAAAAAGTGAACATGATACATCCACGTGAAAGTGCACATTTATACAGTGTTTTGTATGATGAGCAAGTGGGGCTGTCAATAAAAAACCATCAAGGAGTGAGCGACAAACATGTAAAATAAAAAAACATAAGGGCTGAAATCTATTCATAGAGAAAAGGATGTGGGTAAAATAAATAAAAAAACAAAATAAAGAAAAAGGTGGGACTTTTTCCTACTATGTGATATGTTGGGGCTATATAAATATATTGATGTAATCATGCTGTTCATTCAAATCATCGATAGACAAAAAGGCAAAAATGGGATCTGTTTGGTAGGCCTGTGCTTGCCACTGAGGTCTCATCCTGGGCCTTGTCCTTTTCTTTATGTCGATTTTATTATAATATAACGTTCGGAAAACTTTCAAATAAGGGTTTGAATTGATGCCGTGTTTTTTTTAAAGTAATGATTTAGAGTAGATCTTTTCCTTCAATAATTATAAACAAAATCATTTCCAATTAAATATTCATAATTTGGATCGAAATATTTTTAAATTCAATCATTTGGTTGTCGGGTCCATGAGACGTCGTCATCTAAAGTGGTTCTCTAACTAAGCATGATGGATCAATTTATTAAAATTTTACGAAAAAATCGTACTTTTTAAAAAAAAAATAGATGTAGTTGTACTTCGCTTCCTCAACTCAAACATTCTTCCTTTTTGTTACCTTAATTGTGAAAAGTTTCCGGAGAGAAATCGGCACACTCAAAGAGCCTTGTTATTCTCTTTTATATCCATTCATCAACAAGAACAAAATCCTAGAAATCCAAAATCGGGCTTTAATTTATTGGGCTCAAGCTTCTTGACCCAGGCCCATTAATTAAACTTCCTGGGCCCAAATGCTGTCGAATGATTCTTTCATGGATTGATCATGTGAGAAGAAGACATTGAGGGGGAGAACCTAACGGCCGGAGACCGGGCGGCTCCCCGTATTCTCGGTGCCGGCGACCTGCATTTGCCGAGGACTCGAGAGGTAGACTTAGACACGTGAAATATTGCCTGACCACTAAAAGAAGCATAAACACAGAGACCGGGAATCAGTTAGCTTTCTTGATGATCTAAAACTTTTTACAACGGTGATATTATGCAAGCTATCTCGAGGTTTCTGTAAAAGGCGATACAAGTCGCACATAATCGACAGGGGCCTAACAAGTTTGATTCCGGTACTGTTACTATGTTTCCAAAAGGCAATCGATAAAATTTTTAAGTGAACACGATGGATCTACGTGGAAGCGCGAATTTATTCGGTTTTTTTTTGCGCATGATGAGCAAAGTGCGCTAATCCATTAATCCCCCATCAAGGAGTGAGCGACAAACACGTGATAGAAAACCAGAAGGGGTCTGAAAAGCTATTGACGGTACACAAAATGAGAGGCCAAAAGAAGCAAAAAAAAAACGAGTGTGGGGTTTTATGAATATTGATAGTATTGTGCTGGTTAAATCATCAAGAGACAAAAAGTCATAAATGGGATCTGGTCGGTAGGCCTGTGCTTGCCACTGAGGTCTCTTTTCTTCGTGTCAAATTTTATTGGCACAACTCAGTTTGCACGACGTTTCGAAAAAATTTCACACGTTTGGTGGCAAGGGGGGGAATTAAAAAAAGGTGTTCCAAAAGTTGGTGAATCATACTCTACTTAAAACCTAGAGTAGTACAGATTTGGAGATCATTCCTTTAAATTAGATGAAAAGTGAATTAGGGCCTGTTTGATAAAATCGAAACTTAAGTGCTGAAGTTGCTGATAATCTTCTTAAATGTCGAGAATAAAATTTTAAAAGTTATTTGGCGATAATTGAAAATTGACAGCTGAATATTATTATTCTCTTACCAAAAATATAAAAACATCACAATTAGTAAGTTTTATCAATTTAGTTAGCAAGATCCAAATTACCGTCATTTTTTGTGTGTTTTTTCTGTTGGACGAATTATGCAATCCCTCCCTTACTTAACAGATTAAGTGGATTTTTTTATGACACCCAAGAGTTTCATTTTGAAAAAGAGAGAAGATATAATATAGAACAAAGTTGTCGGCCATTTTGTGTAAATAATCATGAAAAAATCAATTGTCTAGCAGAAAATTATCTTTCCTAACTTTAGTCTGCTAGATTAATCGGTGTGTTCGAAACATTCGAAGTTGAAGACAGGTGAGCCGACATGAATCATGATTTCACAAAGGATCTTGAGGTCAAGATTCTCTATTCGATGCGGTGCTCTGTGAATCTACGCAGATCTCAATAGTCGATAGACGTCTCATAACTCAATGGTTAAGATTTATTGAGTCACTGGACACGGTACACGTTCCCGGAATGACCCGATTGGCTAAAAGAGTTCAGCTTTTATAAAAGCTAAAGACTAAGGAAGGACCTTGTTCCACAACCACCATAGCTTTGAAAGTGACGGCATCAATCATCAACCTAAGAGAAAATATAGAAAATGGACAAAGAGAGGCTACAAAAGAGTAGTTCGAGAAACAAGCCGCATAATTGAAAGAAAAACATTCACATTATATGATTCCTGTCTTGTAAGTTACAATCAGAGAAGAAGTTTATGTAATCATGACTTATCTATCAACTGTTCCAAAGAGCATGTAAGTAGGTGATCCAGATTGATTATCATTATTCTTTCATTGTTGATTGCTCGCCCCTAATCATCTAGCATCTCCAAGTCCTTTTTAATTTTTTCTTTCTTTTTCTGGTTTTTTTTTTCTTGTTGATTGATTTCTCACATCCCCTCTTTCATGATCACTGAAATGTACTATAAATTCATGAATTTGGTATCTCCAAACGTGCGCATATAAGATGTCTCCCTTCATGTCTGACAAGAGGAAAAGAAGAAAAGAGAGGTTCCACTAGGAAAAGTATGTGAATGATAACTCAATGATAATAGTAATAGTAATACGTTGCAGCTTTGCAAGTACCAAAGAAGCTTTTTCCTGACAAAATTCCACAAAGGGATAAAGAGAAAAGGAAGCCAATAAAGCAAATCAAACCAAATAGAGTACTCCTGATAAAGCAAATACGAACTTGCACAAGTTCAAGCACCTTCAAACAAGAACAACCTAATAAAGAAAAAAATAACCAGAGAGAGAAAGAGAGAGAACAACACAAGCTCCCAAGCACAAAGCATGGAGTAAAAGAAAAGAAAAAGCAGAACATGGTCATGAGATGATGAATTATATGAGTCCCCTCCATGAAAGATTTCAAAGAGAAGAGACTATGCTAGTGATCATCAGAATTTGCCATGATAAAAGCCCTAGCAGGATATCAGTATTCTTAAGCTATAACAATCTATGGTGCATGCAAAAAAGATATTACTGAGATCATCATCCCTCTCCCTCTTTTAGGGTTTCCATGCTGAAGCCCAAACTAGAGGCTCCTCCTTCCAAGCCAAATAGATCCCAGCTGATGAGTCATCTTCCTGTCCTTGTGGCGGCACCGCCAGCGACCAGCCGGCCTGGTACCTCTTGAGGAGG